GCTCCTCTTCCGCCTCTGCCTCCTCGACCTGTTCTCAGAGGAGGAGAAAGTACCCATGCCGCTGCCCTTCCCTCGTCTTCCCCTTTTTGGGCCTCCTGGCAGGCCCTCGTCGCCACGGCTGGATTCGCCTCGACAGAACGCACCCCGGGAGAGGCCCAGGGATTGTAGCGTTATTGGTACCTTTGGGTTTGCGCATATTGCTCCTCCTCCCTCCTCCCTCCTCCCTCCTCCCCTCTTCCTCCTCCTCCTCCTCCGGCTCCTCCTCCGATTACCCTCCCTCTGGGGGTACGATGGCTTCTCCGGCCCCTGGTTCCACTGCGTGCTCCTCTACGTCCCGGATCAGGGCAACTCGCCTGGGCATCGTTTCTGGAGGGGCTGGTGGGGTTATTTCTTTTCGCGAGCGTCGCGGTCCAACCGCGCGCCGTCCGGAAACGCGCAACCAACGAGCAGCGGGCTACACTGGTTGGGTTACGCGCAGCGTCTAGAATACGACGTAAGTCGTCCTTCACCTGCCGCTGGCTTCCCTCGATGAGTCTACCAGTCAGTCCTAGGACCAGAATGAGTAAATTGTTCCAGAGTGTTCCAGAACGCTCACAGCGTTCCAGCAGGCAGCTCTGGATCGGTCGTGCCACCCAACACATCCTCCAGGACCGCCGGGTTTGAGAGAGCCCCGATTGATCCAAATCGTAGTGTTTTCTCGGTCCGGGCCTCGCCTTTCTTGACGACTCTTCCCCACTCGGCTTGGGGATGTCAAGCTAGATCAAGCCGAGGTACATCTGCGCACGTCGGTGTATATCCTGATGAAACAAGAAATGCGGAGGTATCCGGATAAACATGGAGCACATCGTGGAAGTTCCAGAGCGAGTCGGAGCGGGAGGGGAGCAGGAGTCGTTAAGCCCTTACCGAGGACATGAAACATGGAATAGACATATACTATTCGAGGTCCGCACGGATTAGTTGGGCTGGCGCTCAAGCGCGCCAGGAGCGGCGCCTGAGGGACGCAGCGCCGATCCAACATATCCGCGCGGACATCCGAAAGTTTATGCTCCTACAGTTGTTGTTCGTCTACTCTCGCCCTTACAGTCGTCGCCGCCGCCAGCTCTGTCGCCGTCGTCGTCCTCCTCCTCGCCTTCGCCTTCGTCTTCGTTCAGCCAGGGTCGGGGAGGTGGATCGAGGATGCGTGCTTCAGCAGTTCTTCCGGAGTCCGGAGGCCCCTGGGGGCCTCTGGAGGCGTCCAGGAAGGTCCAGGAGCTTCTGGCGCCCCGACCACAGGGTCTCCTCTGCCGACGCCCCGCCATCTCTGTCGGAAGCCACTGCAAGACCACGGATGGGGCGGTTCGAGCGTCGCTCACGGTGGGTGCGCTCTGCATGGTTTTGATCAGGATGGTGGGCCAGAGCATGCAGCAGGTGATGCGCTCGCACATCCCCGGCGGAAGCCGGCGCAACATGATCATGAGCTGCCCGCACATGGTCCGGCGTTCGCCGCAGCCTGCAGTCTGCACTGCCCTTTGACAGGCACGGCACGGTGTGCGTGCGCGCGCGCGTTTGTGTGTGTGTGTGTGTGTGTGTGTGTGCGTGCGTGCCTGCGTGCGTGCGTGCGTGCGTGCGTGCGTGCGTGCGTGCGTGCGCGCGTGCGTGCGCGCGCGTGTGTGTGTGTGTGGGTGCTTGTGTGCTCGAGGCCCGCTGAAGTGGAAGAAGTGCTCTGGCAGCGCCGGTCCGACATCTGGGGCTCGGCCCCCGACGTACCCTGCGGCTGGTTCTCCCGGCTCCTCGAGGGCCACTTCCAGACCCGCCAGCGCCACTCTATTCAGGAGGGAAAGAAACACACAGACACAATTATCGTCGACTCCCAAGGAAAATATGGGAAAATATGGGAAGTGGGGGGAAGACAGAAACCCAGAGAAAATGGGAAAATATGGGGAACCATTTTATTAGTGTGTATTTATTTGTGTGTCCCAGGGCCGCTTTATCTATGCCAGACCTCCCACAACTCGACGGGCGGCGCTTTGCTGCTCTGGTCGCCCCGCCTGCGGGCAGCGGGCCCGGGGTGGACGGCGAAGCGTACGAGGCTTACCACGTCGGCTGCCGCTTTGTGTCGGCGCCGCTCGGACGTGTGTATGGTGCATGTGTCTTCTCGGCGAGGACCAGCGAGGAGCACCCTGGATCACGGCACCAAGAAAGCACGCACGAGACCGAACAATGCACGGGGAATGGGCGTCCGAGCGGTGGCGAGTCGTCGCATGCCTTCTGGGACGGGCCGCCTTCGCCGCGGCCGTCGCTCCTGCCTCGGTCGGCCCCGCACCTGGGCCCCTCGGTGGACCTCCTGGCCCAGATTCCCAAAAAGGTCCCCGGTGCAGAGAGGCCGAGTGATGCTGGGCCACTGCAGCTGCCCACCTGCTCTCCGCAGACTGCGCGGCGCCGTCATCGCCGACGCCGCCGGCCCGAGGATCGAGGCCCCGCCTCGGGGCGGATGAGGCTGCGGTTACCAAGGGGGGCACTGCGGACCGACCACAGCCAACGCCACGATGCATCTGACAGCCGCCCCGAGTGCTCCTTCTCCTCCCCGCTCTGCATGGGGGGCCCTCCTCGGAACCGACATCGACGTCGTCGAAGAGCCCATTCGAAACGCCACTGCCGACCTCCCCTGGGCCCTGGCCAACGCCGTTCATCTTCGCCGACCAGAACAAGGCCTTCGAGCGGCTGTCCTCCAATGGCTCAGCGACGTTCTCACGCGGTGGGACTCTCAGCCGTGGTGCGGTCGCCGCTCGATGGCCCTCGTGGCCGATCTCCACGTCCAGTCTATCAGCGCGGGCCGCAGATGCTCTCTTCGCAAGCTCTGCCCGTCGGTAGGCACGGGGGAGACGGCGTCCCCTCGTCTTGGTGCCTCGGGCACGAAGCCATCACCTGAGGCGCTGCGTCGACCACCGCGGGCCCGTGCCACACCTGCGTCGAAGGTCTCGCCGCGCTCCTCTCCGACGCCGCGCCGAGGCCTTTCGCGTCACCGTCTTCCTCCCCGGGAGGAAGGGGAGGAGGAGGAGGAGGAGGAGGAGGAGGAGGAGGAGGAGGAGGAGGAGAGGGAGGAGGAGGAGGCGGGGGAGGAGGAGGAGGAGGATGGAGGGGAGGATGGGAGAGGAGGGAGGAGGAGAGAGGAGGAGGAAGGAGGAGGAGGAGGAGAGAGGAGGAGGAGGAAGAGGAGGGAGGAGGAGGAGGAGGAAGCCATACGGCCGAGGAGGGGCGGACCGTCGCGCATCGTCGTCGTCGGTCGCCCCGTCGGTCGTGTCTCGCGCGCCGCGGAGCCATCAAAGAGAAGACAAAGAGGCGCCGCAGCCGCGGCGGTCACCCCGACCGCCACGCCCAGGATCAAAGAAGAAGCCTGGCACCGCCGCGCCAGGACCCAAAGAGGACAAACAGGCTGCTGATAAGATTGGCGGCTGCAGCCAGCAGGTTGGAGCAGCACCACAGTGCGCAGCAGCCCCAGCGCCACCAGCAGCACGCCATGGAGCAGAACTGGAAACAGCAGCGCGACGCCTCGAGGGAAAGGTGGTCAGGAGCAGGGACCACACACCTCGAGGCGTCGCGGCGCGGCCCTGGGAAAAGGTGGACAGGAGCAGGGTCCACAGCCCAGGCGCAGCGCCAGCGCAGACGCAGCAGCAGTGCCAATGACTGGACTGGTGACTACGGAGCCATCGGAGGGCGACCCTGGGAGTGGACCCTCGGGGATGGCCATCAGCACAACTTTCAGAAGAGGCAGCACAGTCAGCAGCAGCAGCAGCAGCAGCCTCATACCCACAAGCACCACCACCAGCCAGCCCAACACCAGTACCAGCAAAAGCACCCACAGCACCAGCAGCGAAGCGACAGCGACCAGCACTGGAAGCACAGTGCGCCATGGAGGAGCGCCTCAGCCAGAAGGAGAAGCAGCAGGCGCAGAAGAAGGGACCAGCTCGACACGCCAGCCTCAGCCTACATCGGCAGCTTCCAGTACAGCCCTCAGCAAAAGGCAGTCCTGGACAGCATCACGCCAGTCTCCTTCGCCGTCGCGATGGAACATGAGAGCTGGTCCGCACCACCAGACGACGAGGAGATGAGGTTCGTGTGGTACAAGACGAGGTGCCACAGGCTGGGACGCCTCTCCGAGAACATCGCTGGCGCTAGGCTGGCGGGTTTGTGCACGTCCAGCCTCGAGCAGGAAGCGGCGATCACCGCCACGAACATCTCCTTCGTCCTGCCCCACAAAGAGCGCATGAAGCAGCTCAGGGCTACGCTGGAAAAGCTGGAGGAGGAGCATGCCGAGATGGAGAAGCGGCTCAGCAAGATGCTCGACCAGGAGGCGGCGGCCGCCAGAACCATCAGGGTCTACAAGACCCTGATGAGGGAAACCAGAGATCAAATGGCAAAGTCAGCGGGCGTGAAGGAGGACTCGTCAGAGGAAGAGGGGAGCCAGGACCCCACCAGAGGACGCACGCCACACCCGGCCGCGAGGAGGAGGCGCGATCCAACTGCAGCTCTAGCGGCACCAGCCACAGCTCAACCAGCCACAGCAGCGAGCGCCTCCTCGGGACCAGCAACAACTGCACGATCAGCCCCAGCAGCACCAGACGAGATCAAAGACGCCATCAGGAGACTGACCGAGAGGCTCGACTCGCAGCAGAAAAAGGAACAGCAGCAAAGTGACCTACTGGCACAGGCAGAGCTCAAGCACAAAAGCGAGCTGAAGGCCTACGAGCAGACCATGGTGCAAAAGATGTACCACACGACCGAAGTGCAGCTGGCCAAGCAGGAGGAGTGGCACACATGGGAGGTTAACGCGCTCAAGCGGCACCACAACGCCAAGCTGGAGGAGGAGGAAGCGAAAGCATACGAGGCACAAAGAGGCAGCCAGAGGACACAGGAGGAAAGGGCCAAAGGGATGCTCGTGGACTTGCAAATGCATCTTGAGTTGGAAAAGAAGACACTACGCGAGGAGATGCACAAGGAAGACCAGAGAAGAGCAGCCATCT